GGGTGAGTAGAAAATGAAGGCTAATCATGTTTTGGGTGTACTATTCCTTTAAATTACAGCCTAACCCATTTACACAGTAACAGATAAAAACCTTTAGATAAATCAAACAAACCGCCACATATCTGAATCAATAACCATTAAAACAACTATTTTCATTCATCTTAGATGGAACTATTCACAGAACTAAACTGAACTTCCTATATTCACCACTGTTGGGCGCCAAGTATCTTTTTCCTCTGATCACGGAGCAGCTGGCTTGCTTGGTCTCGCAATGAATCCTGGGATATCTAAGGGCAGAGAGGATACATCGGACCCTTCCTTAAAAATCAGGCAAAAAGAAAGATGCATTTGTATGTCGCATAACGAGGAGTCTTGGAATCCGACCAGACCTCAGCGCCGCGCTGTGACCTAATCGGCCTTCGAGGAATTCGAACAGAGCACCAGTTCTCCTTAAAGGAACACCTTATAACTTTAGCCACTAGGGGTGCTAGTGGTACTTGTGGCCCTTAGTGGCCACAGGTGCTGCAGCACTGTTGTAAAAGTAAAAAAAAAAAAAAAAGCCGCCCAGCATCCTGTGTCTTTTCATTGGGGACCACGCTAGGCGTCTAGGTTCAGCTAAGAGGGCGTGAGAAACGCTGCTGCTCTCTGGAGAGCACCGCCGGGGCAAGACGTCCAGACCGCCAACGTGGCGGACCAGTGGCGGAGCGCCAAATAAGATGCTGGTGAAGATTCTCAGTCATCCAGGTCATAGTCATTCCAAAAAAGTTAACAAGACCAATCCACTGGGCTTTGTTTCCAAGTTTGAACATGTTTGGCTTCCCATCCAGGAAGCTTTTTCAGTTCAAAATGTCAGTAATAGTGTGAGTTCCAGGCTTTATAGAGCGGACCAAAAACAAAGCCTTTAGAAAACATGCAAATTGAAACAGACGAACGGGTCCGTCCCGTTGGAATGGGGGTCGTTTGGCTTCTTCTGTCAGGCTGCAATGCTCCAAACCTGTCTATGTCTCTGAAAGGGGGGTCGTTAGAGGGGATTGTCCAGTGAAGAGCCACTCGGACTGGGCGTCTCAATTAGCTTTTGTTTGTAGCCTGCTAGCTTTCTTAAACTGTATTTTACTTCTACTAAACATTGAGAATAATAACAAAGATATATGACTGCACACTAGGAGCAAAGTGTTAACTAATAATAAAGCTGAAAAAAGAGAATGGTTTTTACATCCAACTCCTTCTTATAGCGTGCGCCAACGAATAAACCTTTCCGTGATCTGCTCTTGTTTTTCCTCGCACACGATCCCTTTCACGTTTTCTCTTTTTGGCCTCAGTGTCATGTTTGATTTAACGTGTCTAACCCACATGCAGAACACTCAGAGGCAGGAGAACAGTTCAAAGGTTTATTAAAAGATGAATGTACAGGTTAAATGATCAGGTCCAGTGGGGAACTTGTCTGGTCATGAGTGGGTTCACTGCAGAGGGGGACAGAGGAGTTAGTGGAGGTCCAGGTATTTAGCAGGATTGAGATTGAGCAGGGCTGTACCTGTTCTGAAGTAGAGCAGAGCAGCTGAGGGGGGGAACCTTGAGGTTCCAAAGGCTGTCGGCAGGCTGAGGGCTAGGAGGAGGCAGAGCTTAATGAGTGCAGGCAGATCACTGATTAGAGTTTCCTTCCAGTATCTTCTGAGAGCGGACAGGCAGATCACCGGCAGAGAAACTCTTCAGAGTTTCAGGTTTCAGGCAGGTTCAGTCGAGGATGCAGTGAGGAGAAAACAGATCAGGTTCGGGTTCCCAAGGAGTCAGAGTTTCAGACAGGCTGGTTGGCT